GTGGAAAAGGAAAGGGAATGCATGTGCACACACATTCCATTTCTTAAGAGAGACCCTCCCTCCCATCCAAACGACCTTAATTAATAGAGAAGTTTTCTTAAAGCAGGTGCAGTTGTTTTGACTGACTGCTTTGGATATAATCTTTGAAATGACTGACTGTGTTAAATCATGATAATTAGGTCTGACCATTAACCTCCCACAGAGCTGATTACAGGGATGGGGGTGATGAGGAAGTTTTTTATTTTTCTTAGTGCTATTGTTTCAGTCTGTTTGCAGAGTAAACACAATGAGTGTGTCGGTTGATTACGCTGCAGACCATCTCTCAAGCCAGAGGAGATGGATATTTAGTTTTTAAATGTGAAAACCTGGGTTTTAGAGAAAACATGCTCCGAGGAGATGTTGGGGAGGCTCTAGGTCTATGCACCTGTGCCTTTCCAGCCATCCCAACTGTTTACTTACTGAGTGGATGTTCCTAGAGCATTTATCCCCTTTGCTTTAGCTTGTCCCCAACACCACCTCTGAGGGACAGCACTCTTTGTGTTGCTTTTAGATTGTCTTGACTAAGTTAGAGCAGGAGAGGTTGACTCCTCCCCTCCAGCATTTCTGCAGACAAGCACAGCCCAGCTCTTAAAAGGTGTGTTTTTAAAGGGCATCTCACAGTCTGCCTGCAGTGCTCATAAATCAGTTATGACTGTCGCATGGCTGCGAGTGCTCGGAGTAACAAAAGGCAATTATTGATGGTAAGGGAAGATTGCTACAGGAAGGAGAGCCGAGTGGTATTTTGTGCGTTGCAATGGGCAGCCCGGGTTTAACTGAAGGGGGGCTTTGTTGAGGAAAGGAGAATCCTTGCCTGGAATAATTGCCTCTGAGCCAGGGAGAATTGGCTACTCCGGAGTGGGAACAGGCCCTCCGCTACCTCTGGCACAAACAGCGGGTCGCTAACAATAAGGTATTGAAAAGGCAAGCAGACCTAGCAGTTCCGTCTTTCGTTGGGCTCCTGATCTATGCTTCGGCTTCACTTGCTGAAGCAAACCTCTAACAACACAAATATACATGTGGAAACAAGAAAGACAAAAAATCTTTAGAAGAGACGGCAAAAGGCCAGGCAGAAAGGTCCTCGGAAAAGAAAGGAAGCTTCGAAAAAATCCAGATATTTTAGATGAAAGGAAAATATAATCTGAACTATAGTTGTTGGCTGTATTTTGCAATACAAAGCTACGAAATGCTCTCTTCCCCCACAGAGCTCATAAAACTGTGCTCTGTGTACCAGATGGATTATTTTGTTTTTCATTAAATAAAGAAACTTGTAAACAGTGCTGTGTACCATAGAGATGATAATCTCCACCGCCCCCCTCCTCTTCCTTGAACACTGGAGCACGCACTGCCCTTTGCAGGTCGGGCTCAGGCAGCGAAGCCCCAGCCTACCGGTCACTGCAGCGTGGGGGCCAGGCGAGACACGCTCCCGGTGTCCGAGAGCATTTACTGTGTGGGTTCAGTTGTGCTTTTATCAAATCCTGTTTCTGAAATCAAATAAAAGGCTCAGTTGCACGGTGTTTGAATGCCTCTCTTTGTGCAACAGCCGCAGTTGGTTCGGTTAGGTCTGTGGACCTGACACGGCTGCTGGTAGGGGAGAGCAAAAAGAGGAGACCAAATAATGATCAGTTTTTATGTAGAAGATTGCAATGAATGTTTTATGAAGGTCACTGGGAATAATGGCTAGTGTTGCCAGTTAAGTCGGTATGTTCAGTTATTCTGCAATCTTTGCAGCTTTCAAATTTGTAAGGTGTAATGTGTTAAGAGTTTCATTGTGTTCCTTGTAACGTGAGCCACGGTTCTTGACAGTGCTCTTGCAACACGCACGAAGCAGCGCACCCCTCGCTCCACTATTTCCCTGCCTAATCTGTTTGCCTAGTATCTTGTGTAATAGGAATGCAGTGGTTTGTTGTTTTTTTTTTTTTTTTTTAACATAGCTCTTTTATCCATAAGTTTATTGCATATTTAACAAAAGCAGGTACTTTTATCTTCATTTATGTTTCCATTATACTGGAAATTTCAGCTATAGCTGTGGTGCAGCAGCTTCTCTTGTGATATACACAGGCACTGGTCAGTTTGTACCACTTTCAGGCTGGAGGAAACTGCTCTGCTGCAAATCCCACTTACTAATAATGGTCTTGTGTGTATTGCCATGGGTCTGTAACTAGATGTGGTGAGTGATAAAGTGTGAACTGAAAGCAAATATGTTGACTTCTGCTCCATCCACTGGACCCATTGCTCATGTCCTGTTACAGAAAACCTCTCTGAAATTACGGACAAATTGCATTTCAAAAGCAGAGAATAGCTCAATTATAAGATGTACCCTGTTATTAAATACTGAAATATACTCTGTTTAGGTGAAGACTAGATTAATACTAGATACTTTTTTTTTTCCTTCATGTCTTCTTATTATAATTGATTTCAGCTAAATGTATATTTCCCTAATCAAGTGTACATCCAGCAAAATTACTGGGGTAAAATGTTCTTACATTGTTGCTTCCTTTTTTTCCCCAATAGTTTTTAAATATTTTGATAGCTCTATCTGTATATTAGTAAAAATATGTTTGAATTATTGTCACAAGATTGCACACATTTAAGTTTTTTTGGTTAAGTACTGAAGATACTTAATACTGATAGATATTTATGTCACCAGGTTTAATACAGAGATGCTTGCTTGATGTAATCATGTCACTTCCATTGAGCTATGTGATGTTCTTTAACATGCCTTGTGAATAAAGTAATCCCTTCTGGATCACCATTTTATTCTTCCTGTTTATGCAGTAACAAGCGACTTGTGGCCTTAGTGCCAAGTGACACTTCATTCAACACCAGACGAGCCTACACCAGCGAAGATGAAGCCTGGAAGTCATATTTGGAGAATCCCCTAACAGCAGCTACCAAGGCTATGATGAGCATAAATGGTGATGAGGACAGTGCTGCTGCTCTTGGCCTATTGTATGACTATTATAAAGTAGGTAACTCCATCATTATTGCTCCCTGCTGCACTAGCAGGGGACTGCTCTAAAAGGCATCAAAAGAGACAGTTTTCAAAGACAGAAGTCACTGCATCTTGTTTTCTCTCCGATACTTGCATCAAGCAGCCTTGCCGTTTTAGGAAGACTGTGTGAGGCTGTTTTGATGTGTTTAGTTCTGGAGAGAAAAAACAAAATCACAATTCCTGTATTAAATTTGCCACCATGATTTCTTTTTGAGCATAGTGTTCTTCATCTTCCCGTGCAAGACTATTGGATGAATTAACCCCCTTTTTATTTGTGCTCGGATACCTGCAGTATTCTTTAAAAAGTGGAAAAGGGGAGGCCTTGTCCATTTGTAGGTTTGTCTGCTGTTCTGGTTCATTCCACACATGTTTTAGTTTGCTCTTTAACTGGAGTATCTCTCATCTGACAGTTTCCCATGTTATTTTTATTTGTATAATGATTGCAGTAGGCTGTATACAAACATACAGTGAGGTCTAGCCCTTACCCTGGAAGTTTGCAGTCTAAATAGGAAGGTGAAGGACAGAAATTGAACTGGGCACAGAGACAGAAATCCAAGTCAATTCACAGGGGAAGCACTGGGACACAGTTTCAGTATATGACAGTTTTTAAGCCCAGGGCTTTACCTACTGTTTTGATACCACCTTTCTTTTTTGTATATTTCGTAGTGTTTAATGTTTGCTGAAATCAGAGGAGAGTCCTACAGGGTGCATCTCTGTGTAATGCAGAAATTTCATTCTGAAACCCAGGCTGACCCCTTTGTACTCTGCAAACAGAATCAGTGTTGCCTACCAAGCACTAAACTATGAAATTGTTTGTTTCACTTAAACTATCTCAGTACTCCTGAAGTCACCTATGGCTGCATTGAACGGGTAATCTTCTGTGAAAGCCAGCAGAACGATGCCAGCTCCCCTCGTAATTCATGAAGAAGTAGC